GATGCAGAATGCTAATAGTTACATATCAGCCTGGATAGCTGAGAGCCTCCTGGTCTCACCCAGAAAATAGCATTTCATTACATTCAACGCTGGTTTTTATAAGAGCTGCTCCCCAGTGGTAAAGTTATATAATTAATTACATCATTTTAAAGTTTATGTTAAAGCAAATACTTGTAATGTAAGTAATTGTTATGTGAGATTTGTCTGCATTGCTCTTCACCCACACCACTCCACATAATTTCATTGCCTCATCCCTTTCATATCTCTAGTAGACTTTCTCAGTGCATAGTATAACCATACCAAACACACCAGCTGATGTAACAAATACAAAATCTAATTCTCATATCAATATTTTTTCTTTTGTTTTTATCTTTATTATTATTCCATGTTTACTTCCTGGCTGAATTACTCTGAAGTGCTATAGTCAAAATCTTACAGGTATGAGTCGACTATTGTGGGGCTGTTCTATGGGCACACGCACAAGGATCACTTTATGATGTTCTATGACCCTGAGATACCTGAGCGGGCATACCACGTTGGCTACGTTGCCCAGAGTCAAACACCTTACAACAAGCTCAACCCTGGCTATAGGGTCTACAGTGTAGACGGTCACTACGATGGGTCATCTTATGTACGGCTAACAAAGTTATCAATGTAGATTTACACCAATTGTGCCTTTCTATCTTTTATTCAGTATCAAACATTAAACTGTAATGTAAGCATATGTTACCTTAAATATTGTGTCAAGCCTGATCATATTTGATACTGTGTTATATTAGTTCGAACTAAACATAAAAAAGTAATAAGTGGATGACAGTATTTTTAAATAAGAGAATGATAAATCTTGAGTTCTTACAAAATGCATACTTTATGCAGATACATTTTAGAATGCCAAGAACATAATTTAATAATGTTGAAAAATATGGTATTATTTGATACTGAATATTCATATATTCCATAGCCTAATATACATATCAGTCCTTAATATTATTCTGTGGAGAGCCCTTTCAACTACCCGGAGCTATGCTGGGCTGATGTGCATATATGAGACCGTGGCAACAGTCATTCGATGGAGTTCTATGCCTACCGGGGACCAGCACCAGAACCTGGAACCCTCGGATGAGGGGGGCCAGGAACATGAGGAGCTCGAGGAACTTATGGACACCCACACCCATGTAATTGGAAGCATTTTGTCTGCCATCTACCAGGTCAGGCACTCAGAAAGGTAGGAACTCCAAAACAGACTACAGCTGTTTAAAAAATTGCAAACCGAAAGCCAAACTAACAAATAGAACTCCCCAATCAAAAACAAGCAAACAAGCATGACGCCACCACAGCCGCCGCACAGCTATCTACGCAGAAGAGGGGGTCCCAGACCTCCGCTGGCTACTCCACCTCGGTTCAGAAGGATGTTGTGTTGGTGGCGGTCAATCGACTCTGGTTCCATCCTTTGAGCAGTACTGTATAGCAGTGTTGTTGTTCTGTGTTGGTGATGTGCAAGCCAGGAGTAACACAAGAGTACTGGCGTTGTATGCACCTAGGGCTACCTTCCTTAGGTGTCCTGTAAGCCTTTGCCATTGCGGCTTAGGTTGTCTTCCACGAGCCATTCAGGAGAGACTTACCTCTATGTGGTTCTTTCGCTGCTCTGTGATTGCCCGCCCTTGGGGTTCAGCAGGGGTGGTTCTTACTCATGTTTGACCTTGGGTAGTAGGTAGTATTGTCACTGGCTAGGGCGCAAGGTGCTGTGCAGCTGTCTGATATATGCATAGCGACCGATTCAGTTCCCCTGGAGACGTTGTGCTTTTGCAAGGGTTTTTCTTTTGTTTTTGTTTTGTTTTGCCTAGTGGCAGGTTTGCCTGGTGTGGCTGTAAGACCACTTGTATGATTTTAGTGGCCCTTCACTAGGTCCCCGTGCTTGCACGTGTCGCAGAGGTTCAGCTTTTAGTTTGTTTGCTTGGTAGCTCTGGGATAACTGGTTAGCAGTTCCTTGCCTGGGCTTCCCTTAGCAGTCAGCCTAAGGACCCTGGGAACTCCCATTGGGGCTCATTGATCCGGTGGAGGAAACCTCAAAGTCCCACCTCACTTTGTGCCAGTTTGAAGATTGCTCTATCCCTTTGTCTCAGGGTGACACTCACCATCTTTGCCTCCCCCGCCATGCTGCGTGTTGGGTCTATGACACCTTTGACTTTGACCCGGAGTCCTGCGAGTGGTGTTCCTTGCTTGTATTCCAATTCACCCAGTCCACTGAGATTGATATTCGGGTGTAGGCAACTTCAGTATTGTATGCGCGGTTTAGGTTGCTGCAGTGTGCGAGGTTGCTTCCCTTACCGGATGCCTTGCTGCTGCCCCACTTTGGTTTTAGGAACCCGGTCTTGGGGGTGTTAGTTGCCTCGACTTTGGTTTTGTCCGTGCCCCCCCTAGTCCTTCCTTTGCTGTGGTTCATCCTGTTCCCCCCCCCCCCCCACCTGCTCCTGGCTCCCAAACATCTGAGGGTTTGGGTCTGGGTAGGGTTTGCCTGGTGGTGAGACTCGGGCGGTTTCAAGGATTGTTCCTTCTGGATCGGCAGCGGAGGCACTCGAGCTTGTTCTTCCTGCCAGAACTTTTGGGTCACACCAGTGGGCCCCTCTCATCCCTACTTTTTCCGGTGGACTCTTTTCTCCAGAGGCAGAGGGTTTGGAGGACGGCTCAGCCCTGGGTCCTAACGTGGAGGATCCCAGGGCTGGGGAGGAGTTGACTTGGGGGGGCTTGGGTCCTGTTTGACCTCGCTTGACCCCGCTTGAGTGTTGTACCCTCGAAGTGGGGCTTATTGTTACAGGGGGAGGAGTTCTCCTATCCCCCACTTCCAAGTAAGATTTTGATATGAGTTCAACTCCTCCCCGGGTTCATTTCCAGGTTTCCTTGGGTTCTTCGGTTCTCTCCTCCTGGAGGTTTTCGACTTCCTGCATCCCACCAAGGGAGGTGCAGGAGGCTCTTGCGGCTTACCTCTTGCAAGACCCGGATTACGCCTCGATAATAGATCTTTCTTCTTTTGAGTTTAGCTCCTCTTTTCCTTACAGGGTGCATTATGAGATGCTGGAGTCATCCTGGCTGGCAGACTGCCCTTTCTTTTTGTTGGGTCTTGGCATTTGTTCTGACGGACCCGCACACTTGAATGGTAGGAGTTGACTACGGTCATTCAGGTTTACGTGGGGGGTGAGTTTGAGCACCTCAGTGCGTGCTTGCTCACCGCCACACGTCCTCGTGATGTTGGCCAGGTACAGCTTCATGGGCAGGTTCCCTCCTTTCGGCATCTTTGGTGTCCGAGGATTTGCACGCCAGTGGACATTTGTTTTCGGTCTTGCGCGTCTTTTCCCCACTGGAGCTGTCTTCGGACTGGCTCGTGGAGGATGTACTTAACTAGTTGTGCTTGCGGGGGTTGAGCTTTAACTCTTTGGTCCCTCCTCTCCCCCATCAATCTACTGTTGTTCAGATTCCTGAGCTTCTCAAGCTCCATCATATCTACATTTGAAACTGTGTATGAAGTCAGCCTCCATTGCATCACTTCCTAATGCATTCCATTTACTAACTACTCTGGCACTGAAAAAGTTCTTTCTAATGTCTCTTTGGTTCATTTGGGTACTCGGCTTCTGCCTGTGTTCCTTTGTGCATGTTCCACCTGTGTTAAATAATCCATCCTTGTCTACCCTGTCAATTTCCCTGAGAATTTTGTATGTGGTTATCATGTCTCCCCGGGTTCTTCTGTCTTCCAGCAATGTGAAGTGCAGCTCCCTCAGCCTTTCCTCATAACTCATGCCTCTTAGTTCTGGGACTAGCATAGTGGCGTACCACTGAACTTTTTTCTAGCTTCGTCTTGTGCTCAACTAGGTACGGGCTCCATGTTGGGGCCGCATATTCTAGGATTGGTTTTACATTCATGGTATACAAGGTTCTGAAAGATTTCTTACACAGGTTTCTGAAGGCAATTCTGATGTTAGCAAGCCTCACATTCGCTGCCGATGTCATTCTTTTGATGTTGGCTTCAGGAGACACTGTGGCATGATATCAACTCCTAGCTCTTTCTCTCTATCTGTTTCATGAAGGACTTTATCTCCCATTCTGTATCCAGTGTCTGGCCTCCTATTTCCTCCCCCTAGTTTCATTACCTTACATTTACTTGGGTTGTACTTTAGTAGCCATTTGTTTGACCATTCCTTCAGTTTGTGTAGGTCATTTTGTAGCCTCATACTATCTTCCTCTGTCTTAATCCTCCTCATAATTTTTGTATCATCAGCAAACATTGAGAGGAATGGGTTGATTCCCTCTGGGAGATCATTTACATACATCAGGAACAGTATAGGTCCAAGAACTGATTCCTGAGGGACTCCATTGGTGATGCCTCGCTACTCCAAGACCTCACCCCTCACAGTGACTGCTTTTGTTGTTTTGGTACTCCCTTATCCAGCAGAGTACCTTCCCTTTCACTCTTGCTTGCATCTCCAGTTTGTGCACTAATCTCTTATGTGGTACTATGTCAAAGGCTTTCTGGCAATCCAAAAATATACAGTCTGCCCAGCCCTCTCTTTCTTGCCTGATTTTTTTTTGTCTGGTCATAGAATTCAATAATTCCTGTGAGGCATGATCTGCCATCCCTGAACCTATGCTGATGTAGTGATACAAAGTTCTTTGGCTCCAGATGTTCCACTAGCTTTTCTGTGGGGAGCCCCTACGGCTCCCTGGAGCTTATCGGGCTAATGTATGTTATATTAGACCGGACCATTAGCTAAGGAGTTCAGGCCTACCAGGGACCAGCGCCAGAACCTGGCCCTTTCAGAGAAGTTTTACAGAGCAATGGCCCTGGAACCCTTATCTGCCATCGATCGGCGTTAGGCACCCAGAAAGGTAGGCATAACAAAACAAACCCTACATGGTAAAAAACTAAAACAAAAAAATGAACAGAGAGGTAGAAACTCTCTACAATCCCAAGGAAACAAGCAAACATCACACTTTACTGCCGCGCCAATCATCCGCGCAACCCTCCCCACCCCAAGAGGGGCAGGGGGGAGCCCCGGACCTCACCGCGCCAGCTGCCTAGCATCAGTTCGTAAGCTAATGTCAACCGGAATAGACGCTTCTCTGGCCTCAGTTAACTAGGCGGTGTTTGCCCTGTGTGGCGTTCACAGCCGTGTGTTTTGTTGTGCGGTGACCAGGTGTTCCTCATCAGTACCAGGGTTCCATGCGTTTAGGGCTTCCTTCCTTAAGCGCTCTGTGAGTACTGCCCCTGCGTGACAGGATTATCTTCCCTGGGGCGTTCGGGAACCATTCCCATAGAGGTTCGTGTTGCTCGGCATTTGCCTCGCCCTTGGGGCCAGCTGGGACTTGGGTCCTTGTTTGGCCCTGGGTAGGGACTGGTATTGTGCTGGTTAGGGCGTCAAGGTGTTGCGCGACCTACCACTTAAGCGGCGACCAGTTCCTGTTGCCTCTGGAGAAGGTGTACTTTTGCGGGGTTTTTCTTTTGTTTATATTTTCATTTGCCTGGTGGGGGTCTGCCTAGTGTAGCTATAGTTCCAATGGTAGTGTTTGGTGGCCCTCTGCTAGGCCCTCGTGATTGTACACGTCACAGGGGCTTTGACCTCTACCCCCTTGTTATTTTTG